AGCGAGATTTTGGTCGCTCGCTCGAGCGACCAAGTCGCTAACAGACAGTATAAAGTGATATTTTGGCCCAAAAACTTCATTTTTTCATCCTCTCTTCTTCTCCCCTCCTCCATGTCCGAAAACCTAGCCTCCAAAACTTTGATTTCATCCATTCTTACCAACAATCCACCATGGATCTTGCATCAAGGTTCAAGAACAAGCAAGGATCAAGGCGTTGACCGATTATTTTGGGGATTTCATTGAAGTTTGAAAATGGGTCTTCACCCATAGCTTCCATTCTTAAGGTAGTAGTCCTAGTTCTCCTTCAATGCTTACATTAATAGATAGATTTGTGGTATTTTGGATTATATAAATGCAAAATCTACATTTTCAGCATATAGTGTTAAATCATGAAATTTTGGGATTAGGGTTTGAAATGTTGGGGTTCTATTATTGGGTTTAGATTATGGATTATGGACCTAGGGTGTATAATCAATAGGAAAATTGGAATAAAAAGTAAAGGTTTAAGAAGTTTGAATTTTTCTTGAAATTCTAGATTTTTCTTGAAAACCCTAAGTTGATTCATGATGATAAATAATGAGTTTTCCCAAATTCAAAGTAGAATCATGAAATTGAGGTATTGAATTGTATATATACAAGTTTAATTGAATTTTGGAAGTGTTTGAAATCATGTTAAAAATTAGCGATTGAACCTTATTTATGGATATTGTAAATCATGCTATGATATGAAATGAAATTTGGGAAAAAGGATTAGTTAATGATATGGATAACATGAGCCTTGTGATGAAATGATGAAATAAAAATTTAGGAGTACACTTTGAATTATAATTAGTGGTGTTGAGTTAAGATATGTTGAATTGTGGTGATTATGTGGAATTGTATTGATTATGTTGATTTTGGTTTTTGTGATCTAAAATGTAGAGTTTCCAAAATGGGTTTAATCTCAAATCATTTTATTAAATTCCTAGTGGGCTTCTTTAGTCATTCAACTCAAGAGGATGATTCAATGGGGTTTCTTTATGGGGATGGGAAATGTTTGGTTTTGGTGAAAACCCTAGAAATTTAGAGATTTTTGGGGAACATGGAAATGTTCATAAAACTCCTTTCTTTCTTTGAATAGAAGATGAATGGGTGTAAATTCCATAATGTGTTTTGCAAGAATGGTAATCTTTTAAATATATTGAGTTAGAGAAATGGTTTTGAAAACTTCATGTGTAGTCCTTGATGAGACCATGTTGCTATGACTTGTGAAATGAGGAAATTGATGGTATATGGTTGACTTGAAAAGGAATGTTATGAATCATGGAAATTTTTGCATTTGCATATCATTTCATTTATTATTGTGCATTGTGGTTCTAAATCGAAGAGATTTGCATTCATGAAAGAAAATGGTTTGTATGAGAAATATGAAAATGTGTATGGGGTAAATACGTTAGTAAGTCCGGATAGGGGGTGTAGATGAATTTGATAAGTAGGCCTGAGTGTCCAGGGTGAAGGACCTGAAAGCAACGCGGATAGGTGTTGAGCCTTCCGGTTAGCAACGGGAAAAATGACAATTTGGTAGTGCTTGTTGAGCCTACTTGCAAACACCAGCCGAAGGATTACCAGTGTTATATTTACCACCCCTTTGTCTAAAATTGAAAGTTTTGAAATGTGTTGAGATTGCAAGCTTTTATTGAGAAATGGAAATCTTTGAGAAGAACATGGAAATTAATTATAAAAATGGTTGGTTTTCGAAATTGTTTTGGGTGCCCACATCCCGCCGTATGGTAGCCAGCAAATGTGGGGGATGGTTTTAAAAAGTTGAAAATTGGTTTTTGAAAGAAAATGGCTTTTATGAAAATGGTTTTTGGGAGTTCACTTCCCACCGTATAGTAGCCAGCGAAAGGTGGAAAGTGTTATGAATTGGGTGCCTGCTATCCCGCCGTAGTAAGTCGGCAAAGGTGGATTGTGTTAAGCTATGTGTTGAGAAGTGTGTTGAGTTGATGATGTTATTTCTTGCTTATGATGAACTTGTGAAATTACATATTGATGTGTAATTTGGTTTAAAGAGGGAACGTGCATAGGCATTATTTGTAAATAATGGAAACCAAAAATAGATATGAGGATTATAGACTATGATGGTAAACTTAATGAAGTAGTTGTGTTAATAAAAGTAAATTGTGAGCGTTGTTCTATAATTTAATAAAGGATTGGATTGAAAGGGGTTATTAATATTGTGTTATCTTGAAATGAAACTTTGCGGGTGTAGTTAATGGTGTGAATTGAGTATAGGAGAATTGTTGGCGAGTCAAAAAGGAACCTGAACTTGAAGTTATGGGGTTTTAAGAATAGAAAAGAAGAATGAAAGGAAAAGAGGAGTATTAAAAATGGAAAATTAAATAAGAAATGTCTTGGGAATTGGTTAATAACTTTTAACTGATGTTGTTTCTTAAATATGTTTGTTTCACACGGATCAATGGTTTTCTAAAGTTAAGGGATGATTTTTTGATGGCTGAAGGTTTTTCTTGAAAGTGTTCAAATAGTTTTTGAGAAAAGGTACTCTACTTATGATATTTTGAAATTATAAAACGTCACTCTACTATATGGTATCACCCTGCATGCATGATCATTTCTATCTGTGTGTTAGTTATTGATTGAGAACTATGAGATTCCTACTGGGCATTAGTGCTCACCCCGTTGTTGTTTTATCTTTTTACAAGAAGAAAGTTTGGATTATTTGATTGAAGATGTATGGAGTTCTTGAGTCCATTTGTATAACTTCATAGTAGATGTAAAGGAAGTGGATTTTGTATTTGTATTTATTTATTTGTAGCACAGTAGGAGATTGGCATGTATGATTGTCATTGTAATATTTATTGAGAGAGAGAACATGTATTATTGTATTTCTATTACTCAAGTGTAATAGATATTTGTATATGTATAAAAAAAAAGGACCTAAATTACAGGCTTTGGTAATGTTTTCGAGTAATAAAAATTCGGGACGTGACATATTCTACTCTATTTAGAGTTCATAGGTCCATCTTTTGAATGTCAAGTTGATTGAGAATATATTATATAAACATAACACTGCCATTCACATAAATATATTTCATTATGGGCCTATTTGATTCTAGTATTAGAGCATAGGATTGGATTGTTAATCCAGTGATATGCACATTCCTAGGTTTCGATGGCATAAATGGTGGCCGGCTTAGTAATACGTAGGATTTCTAATCCCACAAAATCGTGGGATATTCAATACCATATGGAAGTAGGCATTATTATTAATAATCCACTAAGGGCTTGTTTGATTAACAAGGATTAATAGCGAGGGTATTAACAATCCATGGGGTTAGTATAGGATTAGTTATCCAGTTGGAATGCTGAGCTGAGATACATAATTTCCTATTACCCAAGTTTATTTTGCAATAGATATAAAAATTCATTATTCCAATTATATTAATAAGTTGTAAGATTAAAAAAAAAAAAATCATCAATTTTGTTGGATAGAATGACTATTGGAATCTCATTCGAATAATAAAATTTGCTACCAAACAATGGAATGTGGGCCCTATGAATTAATAATCATAATCCTATGTTATAGTCTGCCCAATCAAACAAGTCCTAATTGAGTTGGACAGTCAATCCAATGATTAATCCCATGGATTATTAATCTCATCACTATTACTCCAACCAATCAAATATGCCCTACTGGTATCGTATACCATTGTATACCATAGTAAAGCCACTCCATGAAATGTATGCCTTCAAAATATTAGATAGAACACAATATGAAAAATTGATTAGTAAAAATGACGTAAAGCTATGAAGCATACAAGAAATTACACTTTTGGCGATGACGTCAATTTTCATAGCCAAAACTATATTTTTGACGACACAGTGATCAATTTCGTTGGTAAAAGTAGACCTTTACTAACGCAATTTACTACCGTCGATAAAAAAGCATAACATTCATTAGGTGTCAAAATTATTGGTTGACGCCAAAATTTCAAAAATTTTAGTTACGAGAAATATTTTTTAGCAACACAATAAGTGTCGCTATTAGTATGCTTACTTTGGTGACGACAAGTTGGCGTGGGCAAAGAGTTAAACATTTAGCGACGATAACACTATTCGTCGGTAAAAGTTTGGTTGAAATGAGGTGATTTGATTTGTGTTTTTATTATAATTTTTCAAAAGTTTTAAATATTCTAGTTATTGAATTGTAAAATTAAAGTGATTATCGAATTAGATCACAAAATGAACCTATCAAGCCCAAACACACTCTTAAGTTGAGATGGCTAATTTGAGATAATCTAAACCTTTCCAAAGAATGTAGTTAGATTATCAATTTCAATATGTTTGGTTTTATTTTCAGAAACTTGTTTCAGAATTTTTTTTTCTAAAAAACTAAAAAAAAAATTAAATTGGCGAAAAATAAAAAAATACTTATTGTTTTCGTATAATTTTGTCTTTTAGGAGGTCATAAATAATTTTTAAAATTTTAAAAATATTTTTTGATTTTATACTTCTCGAATTAGTTTTAATACTTCTCAAATTAGTTTTAATTAAAAAAAAAACTAAAATTGTTTTTATTTATTTATTTATATTTTTTTGGTGGTCTGCCTCTAAAAATTGAGGCGTGGAAAGTTTCGTCTCAAAATTCCCTCTTTTTTTTTTCTTTTTTTTTTTTCAAACGATAGGTAAACCCCTCGTCAATCTGTACGATTTTCATTCTTCGGCAGCAGCAAGATTTCAACTTGGAAACGGTGCTCTCTCTTCGATTGTGAGACTGCTTAGGCCACTACAAGAAATTACACTTTTGGAGAGCAAATTTGATGAGCAAAAAAAATTTAGTGGCTAAAAATTGTGGAATTGGCAACCCAAAATTATATTAGTCGGCAATTATTCAGTTGTGGTGACTAAAAAAAGTAGTCGCTGTATAAAATTATTTACTCCTTATATATTAACATTTTCCGACAAATAAAACATTTAGTCGCTAAAGCTCTAAATTTTATAGACGGAATGATTTCATATTCGTGCCTGTCTCATACATTTAGCCTCTCTGTGTATACACAACCACAGAACCTCTCTCTCACACAGATCAATCACCAACAAACCTCACGACTGCGCATCCTCAGCACCGTCGGTCCCCGTACGCCGCAAATCAACACCACCGCCGCCGCTAACAGGTTCGCTCTCTTGCTCTCTCCCTCTCTGTATCGCTCTCACTCCCTCTAACTCGCTCTCTCTCTCTCTCTACCCCTTCTTCTATTTCCCCAACTGTGAACTCTTGCTCTAGGGTTGTTTATTCTACCCATTCAGTTTAATTTTGTCTTCATTTCTGAAATGGGTTTGTTTGAAGTGGTTTCATTACTAGAGTTTTATGGGTTTCATGTTGTAAATAGGTTTGATTTTAGGGTTTGAAACCTTTCCCCCTCTTTTTCCTTTCTCTCTCATTAGTTTCAAAGCCCTAATCCATTGATTGTCTATGTCTTTTCATGTATGGTTACTCATTGATTGTGTATGTTATCTCATGTATTCTGATTATTTTCATTGAAATTTGATGCTCTGATTGCAATAGTAAATAATTTATTTGCTTCCCTTTGATGATTATTTATCAGATTTTGGGCAATACCCATTAAGTCATACATTGGGGATTTTTATTTATTTTTTTACTTTGTAATTGCTCAGCGAAATAGTCTCTCCGCAGTGAAATAGTTTCACTTTGGATATAGTTCTCATTGTAATAAGTAAAGCTGCATTTTGGCAGTGAACTAATGAGAGAAAAAGAAGTTTCATCCAGCATATGGGGATCTATTCTGTGATCGTTGATGTGCTTCTGTATTTTTTATTATTATTATTTTTTTTTCTAGTGATGCAGATATTCATGCAGTTACTTTTTTTCTTTGGATGGCTATGTTCTGTTTGCTGTGGACCTAGACAATTGGGGAATATTCATAAAAAATGAAAGTATGTTCACAGGAGGGTAGCAGTATCAAATGACACTTCTGTTCATAAAAGGATGCTTTAGCAAAGTGATATTGATTCTGAAGTGAATAATATATTTCTACTTGTTCAAGTACATTAAAAAATTTCGTCTATTGTTATATTGAAGATTGCTTCTGTAGCATAAACATTCTTGAATTTGGTAGTGTCAGTATATAATTTCCTAAGCAAAATAAAGTCGTAATCATATTGTTGATTTTCCTCCCCTCTTATCTTTCTGATGTACTGTACTTTATCTGTTGGGAAATTTCTAACGTCCAGGCAAGTATTTATCGGGAGGAGAACAACGTTATAGACTTGTATATCATACTTCTTAGATTTTCAAGGTATGTTAAGGAGAATGTTGCTGGCTTTCTTTCAAATTGCTTACTTTGCAAGAAAGTATGTATGTGTATGCTTAATTATTTACCTCTGCCAAATAAGGAAACGTTGTCTAGGCACTCTTTTTTGGGCCCAAATGGTCTTTGGGGTGAATGGCTGGGGCCTAGCCCAGAGACAAAGGTAAAATTTGTCAGGTTGCATTTCATTTTGTATTGATTTTTGAACTCTTTTAAGTTTAATCCCATTGTACAATGCAGGTTCACTATCTAAGCAATACTGACTTGACTCCAAATGAAAATTCAAGGTCAGGGCTATAGCAACCTTGTACTTCTGTTACTACCTGGTTTTATACTTTTAATTTGTTTTTCTTGAGGCATTCTTATGTACCAAAACTATCTAATTATCCCATTGCTGCTTTATGTTACGTTTCTCCCCAAACTTGTCCCTTTTGTAACATTTTCTTCCTGGTATTATCCTGGATTATATCCTGAATCAGGAGGTTGCACAATATGACCTTCAGGAAGTAAAAAATGGTGAGTCAGAAGTGGGTAAATCTACCATGGAATCATTGCTGTCTTTGGATGATGGAAGACAGTCACTTCCAGCTGATGACTCTTGTCCTCCCTTAAATAATGAAGCAAGTAATGCTCCTCTTATATTAGGAAATATTAGGCAACCTTCTCCACCTCCTGTTTTGATTACAATTTTATGCCTACGTAACATTTTATGTTGATTTTTTATTCTTGCTGAACATGATGCTAGTTTCATTTAACTTTCATTGCAGCCAGTAAAAATGATGGATGATTTTTTGAGATTGGCACGAGAAAATACTTCAAAAAATTTAGAAACATGTGGTGTTCTTGCTGGTTCATTGGTAATTGGTACAAGATTTGTGAATACAAAAAGTAAATGATAACTATGTTTTGATATTTTATACTTGTGGTTACTTATGTACTTGATCACATTTTGTAGAAAAACAGGGTGTTCCATATCACTACACCGATAGTTCCAAAGCAAGAGTCAACTTTAGATTCGGTAAGATAATTTTTCTGTAGTGTGTTAATTACTGTGATGCTGTTAGTTCTCCCCTGCTTTCTTTTCTTCTTTTTTTTTTTTCTTTTTAATTCTAAGTCTTGTATATTTCTGTCTTGATATTTCATCTTTGTCAGTTTTTGATGTTGTCAACTTGAAATTAATGAATAGCTAATTGCAAATTGAGTACAACTTTGGTATTTTTTTTGGTAGAACTAAGCTTCTAAGGTTCTAAGATTAAGTGATATGAATCATGATATCTAAAAATGCCAGAATAGTCCCATTTTCCATTTTGATATATTTATCATGCTTTTGCCACTGATACAAATGAAGCAACATTCCTCACTGGTTAATGTGTCCTAAAATGGAGGTGAGGTGGTTATAAAAGAAAGCAATTTAAATTAAGGGTTTGGATGAAAATATTTTTTGATAAGTTGCAATTTTAAAACATGGGCAAAATATCATGGTTAGTCTCTTGATATTTGAAAAAAAATAAAATAACAGTAGAAGAAATTTTGTTGTTGTCGTTGTTGTTGTGAAAACATTTAAAGTTTGAGGGAACACTCAGTCATAGCCGTTCCACAGCAGCAGCATCAAATCTTATAGAAAGCTTATGTGTGTGTCGTCGATGTCGAGTCGTGCCCCATACCTGCAGCATGTCATGTAGTGTCCATGTGGGCCATTGGTTTCACGATGGCAGTTTTTTACTTGTAGCTACTAATAATTTGAGTGATACTTATCAATACATTTTTTAATGTTCAGTGTCAGACCTTGAATGAAGAAGAAGGCCTTGTTTGGTTTATGTTTCCCAAAAATTTTTGGGAAAAATTCTCCACAAATAAGTTTTCAAAAGTAATCAAACCAAACAAATTTTCCCAAAAAAATTTCTCAAAACTTGTTTGGTTTACAAGTTTTCCAAATAAATCTCTCTCTCATACACATCAAATCAATCTCTTTTTCCAAAACTCTTTCTCAAAATAATTTTCCAAAACATCTTTTGAAAAAAACCAAACCAAACAACTTTTCGTACTTTTTATCTCTAAAACTCATCTCCCAAACTCAAACCAAACATACCCGAAATTTTTGAAGTCCAAGACAAATATTCGCTTTTTCCTCTTGGGTGGATCCATGTTAGTGTTTCAGTACCTTGTTGACAACTTAGTGTTATTTGTTCTACTGAATTAGTTGTGTTCTACTTATTAGTTTGCTTCTTCTTCTTCTTCTTTTTCTTTTTTTTTTTTTTTAATAAAATTTGTGGCTTGACTGAAGTTAAAGTTGCTCAAATCCATGGAAGAACCTTTTGTCTGTGCACTTAATATAACTTATTATCTAATTTAGGCCTTGTTTGGAACTAGGATTTTGGCTAAAATAGCCAATCAAACAAAATCTCACATCCTATACATCAATAGGAAAAATTGAAAGAGAAAAAGCCTACTTTGGCTTAGGCACTTACTCAAACTCTTCAAGCAATGCACAAGTCTGGTGTTTGAATCTTGTAGACATTGTTGAAGGCAGGTTTTGCCATCGTTTTAAATTTTGATTTATTGCGATAATTGTTGGATACCTTCATGATTTGTTCTGCCATTAATTTTTTGTTTTGATGATTCATTAGCTCTCTAGTTTTGTCTTTTGTGCTGTTTTTGGTATGAGCTCATTACATTTTGATTATGAACTAAACTGAAGAAAGTTATAAATCATTGTAATATTGAATGTTTAGGTGCATATGAAAGTTCAATTTTTTATATTATTTTATTTATTTTTTTTGCAGGATAAATTTTAATATTCATTGATAAGTATATGCAATTGCAATTGGCTACCTCTTGTAAATCTGTATATTTTTTCGTTTTAATTTATAACTTACTTACCCCATGTGGACATCCCATTTTTGACCACCCGCAAGGCTCGAGCGCTTTGTCCGGTACACTCAATGATGAAAGTGGTATTGTGCATGGTTCGAGGTCTCAACGAAGGAGCCTTGTTTAAGCTTCAAAACGACCCCAAACCTTTCATATTCCCATTGATTATACCCAAGAAATCCTTTTTTACACATTGTGCCACCCTGTGCTAAGGCTGAAACAAAAAAACAGGGGAACACATTGAGGCCCGGCCGTGCCTCAGTGAGGGCTGACCGTGGCTATTAAGGGCCGGCCGGGCCTTGGTAGTGAGAAACATTGTTCTGGGCGGGAGGTCGCCAGCTGTCCATTTTTGAAGATATTTATGATATTTTTGGCTCAATTTCTATTAAAACGACTATATACCTCTGTTTTGAGGGTTGAAAAATTTCAAGAAAGCCTCTATACCACCTTGAGAGCTCCTTCTTCTCCTTCTTCTTGTGCAAGCAACACTTTGAGCTAACCTATCACCTTGAACCTATATCCATACACCATATACACTTTCATACCTTAGTTTAGGAACCTTGGTTGAGCCTTGAACACCATAATTCAAGCTTGAGAGTGTGTTGGAGCCTAGTTTGATCACAAACAAAAAGCTTGCTTTCTTGAGAGGTATAAGCTTGCTATCTTCCCTTTTGCTTTCATCCCTTTCATTTGCTATATGATTCTTGTAGTTTCTTGTTGCTTTGATTCTATTCTAAGTGTTTGAGTTTGGGTTTGGAGAGCTACCAAAAGGATAGAGAGAATTTATACTCTTTCTACACCTTTATCTATAGCTCAAACCCTTACTTCTACACTCTTTTTCTTTGTTCTCTACACTGATTTTCAGAGTTAAAAAAGGGGCTAAAAATCATGCTTTGAGGTTTCAAAAGTGGAGGGGTTAGCCACCCCTCTTTGTTCTTGCTTACTAGTCTTGTTTTCTCTCTTTGTTGTTTAGCTTTTTAGGCTCTTTTCATGCATTATTAGCCACTGATTTTCATCTGTTTAGGGTTGTTTTAGAGCTGTCTTAAGTTGTTTAAATAGTTCATGCTTTTATTAGCTTGGTTGCTATCTCATAAGTTTACATGCATAGCATGTAGTATATTGTTATAAGCTTTTCTTCAATTCATTTCCATGTTTAAGAATCTCATTTTAATAATCAACTTACCATTCATCTCTTTCATTTGAGAGTTGTTTCAATCGGTTGACGGTTATTCAAAACGTGAACTAGCGATTTACGTTTAATGGCTTAATCTCTTTGGAGGTTCATTGCCAACGGTGTAGTCTTTTTTTCACGTTGAGAATCACCTCTTGATTGACATATTTCTCACTTAGTGGACATAACAATTACCTTGGACTTAATAGATTAAAAGATGTTAAAGACTAATGAATGTGGCTTAAAATGAACCAACTCACATAAAGAAAATAAGTTATATTGCTTGGGGTTCGGTTGGACGTTATGTCGGATCCATTGTGTCAAGGGTCGTCTAACATCAATTCATGATGTTTTGGATGAACTTTGAAGCGTCTCTACCTCCCTCTTTGAGTTCACTTCATGATAGGAGGAAGGGGTGGTTGTTGTTCATTTCATTTATTAGTTTTTGTCCAAATAGTACATCGAAATCATCAAGCAATCAATTTGCTCATTGATGGTTTTAAAAACAATTCTAACCTTCTCTCAAGGCTTTCCCATGACAGAGAAGTGTGAGAGGGACAAACAGAGTCCAGAACACTCAGTTTGCACTGTTTTCACTTCAGAGCACAAAACAGAATTTTACATGAAATTGAGGCATGGCTGGCCTTCTTTAGGCCCTGGCCGGGTTTCATTGAGGGCTGACTGGGCCTCAATGTTTGGTCGGCAATGTGTTTTTGCAGAAAATAGAGGGTAGTGGCTAAGATGAAACAGAGCAAGCCTGGGGCAGACAGAGCTGTTCTTGGACATTGTGCACGTGCATGCAACCCCTGCGCATCATTGCTTACATCATCATTGTTGTAATTAATTTGTTTATTATCGTTGTAATTAATTATTGTTGTTAATAATTATTGTTTATTTATACTTGTTATTAGCTGATTAAACTTAGATAGTTAGATTACTTGTCATGATTACCCTTGTTGTAATAGCCTAGTTAGCTAGTTAATGCTTTAATTTATTCATTCGGTTTTATAATAAGTAGTTTAATTAGGACTTCCGAACTTTGATTCGCAGCCTCTTGCACGAGGGCAATTATGTAATAAGTTATATGTCTTCCAACCCCACATCTTTCTCCCTTTTATTTACTTGCTTACGATGGTTAGAATAGAGCATCATTTAAAAATAGCATACTCTATGTTTTGTATTCATTGTCTTACATGCATCCAAAGATTCGGTTCATCATGCTAACCCAATATCAAATGTTCAAATCCATTGCTTGAATATGTGCTTTATCGTATGTCTTGAATAGAATCATATGCCATGCTCATAGCTGAGCCTATAAAATACATAATGTATGCATTATATTAGTCATATTGCATTAAATTAGGAACATGCATATTTTTCTAACTATTTTGCTTTGTTTTGGCTCGGAGTACTAGGTGAGCTATTTTGAGTTTTAGCATATTGCGTAAATGTTTGTATTACAATGTCAAAGCATACTTCCATGAGGCTAATTGCTTAAATGATATAATTGTTTGAATGTCTGTTCTGTGGATGAAGGTTACTTGCTTGAATTGGAATGATTTGATTAATGTATATTTAAGCTCAGTTTTTCAAGTGGCACATTCGAACTCTTTTCAAAAACAAAACATGAAATCAAAACGTTTCAATTCTTGCAAATTAGTCTATATCTTGTGTGCGCATCACATAGTAAAATAGCTAATAATCAAAACAACAGCATATAATGTAAATAAAAATCACATCATGATTACTAGGGGCTAATTCTTGATCGGGTCAGTGGGGTGCTCAATTCATGACCTTCCTTTCTCGTACCTAAGTTTCCGAGCCGAGACAACTTTGGTGATGACGGACTAATAGCCGTTGGCATGAGTCTTAGGTTTCCTAAATTTTTCAAAAATATTTAGGTGACGACTGTGAAATTTGACAAAACAGTTCATTTGCATTTTTTATTCAAAATTGATTTTCCAAAAGAATTGTCGGATTTGGACTCTTTTTGTGTTTCCACTGTTTCACATTTCTCTTGTGAAATCAGATTTAGAACCACAGGTAGAGTCCGAACTGTAGGGCCATTATTGTCATATATGCAGTATATATATGCCGATGATTTTTGCATTCTTAGCGACAATCACTTTTCTGTAAAATAAGTCTTATAAAAAATAAAAATGATTTTTAATTATTTTGGCCAATGCAAATTTGTTGTTGCCAAAAAGTAAAGCTTTCTCGACAAATATCTCGTCGATAAATGTATTGCCAAAAGTTTACTTTTATCGAACCATATTGTGTTGCCAAAAGTATATTTTTTGTCGACGCAAATTTGTGTCGGAAAAAGTGCCACACAATCATCATATTTGAACTACTTTTATCGACGCAAGATAAATTGCCGATGGCTGATTAAAGCTTTTACCGATGACTATGTTTGTCGCTAAAGGCATTACTTTTACCAATGCAATGATAACTTCGTTGGCAAAAAGTTTTGCCGACTCACTTTTACTTACGGGTTGCCGACGTAGCTCCGTGTGTCGCCAAAACTTTTTATCGACGAGTTTTTTCTTTTAGCAACATATTTTGTTGCTTTGCGAAAAATGCAATTTCTTGTATACCGGTGTCTGACACATGCCGAACATTGACACGTACATGCTGGGACACTTTGGACACGCTACGGACACGTTGGGATACACTGAGGACACACAAGGACACGTTGAGGACACACTAGGGGCACCCTAGGGACATTGGAGACACACTGAGTATTATTTTTTTAAAAAAATTAAAATTTTTAATTTTTTTACTAAAATAGCATATCGAAGGTTGATAAATTTGATCAAATTAAATATTTGACATAAAATACATATTAAATATTTAATAATATACATATAACAAAAATATATATTTTGAATGTGTGCCAACATGTCGTATCTTGTATTTTTTTTTTTTAAATTTACGTGTCCACATAGGCGTGTCTTATCACATGTTCATGCATCTTAGAGGTAAAGACACAAAGTTAACCTACCAATTTTGTATCTCACAGGTCACAAATAAAACTGTCAAGGGTTAAAACAGAATATAAGAGTACAAATAACACATAATTGAAATGATACCCAGAAAAGGCTAGGCTGTAAAGTATCACACTTCACTATGCATGCATATATATAGATTCAAAATTTGATGTACTGAAAGATGAGATTTAAGAGAGTGAAGAGCATTAGTACCACTCGGATGAGAACTTCTCGTAGGCTTCAGTGACTTGTTCCAGGAACTATACCTCTTGATCCCCAAAACTGAAATTACAAAAATTGATTGTTATGAAAAGTAGATAGTGAAGAGAGAGAGAGAGAGGGAGAGAGAGATAGTGAGTGAGAGTGGACCAAAAAATTTTAAAAAAAAAATTGATTAAAATATTGTAAAAAATTATTAAAAATATAAAAATATGAATTGAAAATTCAAAAATTTGTTTTTGAAACTCACAATTAAATAAGGTATTTTTTAAAATTTGAATTAGGGATAATATGATGAATTTAAATGCTTATAAATTATATACCCTTTTTTAATATTGATTTATTAGGATGAAATTTAACGTAATGGACTAGAATAGGGAGAGTAGTGAATGATCATTTAAGGTGATTTATGATTTCAGTATTTTTTTATTATTTTTTTAATTAATCAAATATGAAATAGATTTTTTTAATATCATTTTAATGAATCAAATACCACCTAAGTTTTAAAATGTTTATTTTGCCTCAACATTTTTTTTAAGATATTGATAGGTAAAATAAAAAAAAATAAAAAAATAAAACTTATAGATAAATAAGTTTGATCAATGGAAGTGACGGTAAGTCTCCTTAAAATAAATAACACAAATCATTTTATATTGATTTTAAAATAATTTTTTATGACAATTAAAAATAGTTTCTTACATAAAAAATTAATAAAATATATATTTTTCAAATTTTTGAAACAAATTATGCAACCTAAATCTAAAAAACAAAAGTAAAGAAAATAAATTTGGATTGCTCCAACACTGCACAGCATGTTTGAACTGAAGACCCCTACTATAAGATAGGGATAGTATACCATTGGGGAATGTTTGATTGGAGTATTAGAAGAAAGGACCCTTTTCGAAGAAAGTACTAAAAGACGAATTGAATGCGGAGGAAATATGTGGGTCCATTAAAATATTAATTCAGTATTTGATTGTGGGAGAAGGGAGATGAGACTGAAGGTGAGGAACATGTTGATCTCACCCAATAATCTAATTCGGTATTTTCTTTGCAAACTAAATTTTAGATAGTTGTAGTATTGGTATGGAGAATTAAATAGCAAAAAAAAAAAAACAATGAGAGAATTAAATAATACCATAGGTAATGTGGTATTAGAAGAATGAAGCCTTTTTGGATTATTTTTTTATTCATCATTCAAGGAAAAATAAGTTTTCGTTTTGGAAAGTGGGTTGGCTTTTTATCTTTTTGGCTATAGTCTGGGCTAAAAAATCTCATTTGAGATGGGCTTTTTGACTTTTTATTTTTTATTTTTTGACTTTTGTGAGAGAAAAAGTAAAATAATTATGGTTTGGTTATGACATTTTATCTTATTGATTTTTTAGCTTATTTTATTTTTTTTTGTAGCTATTTATCTTTTTATTTTATCCTAACCAAATAAAAGGGTAAATTACCGATAGGTTTAACTTTTGAGACTTATTACCCATTAAA